CGCTAATTCTTTAATCCGACATCTCTCTTGGTGGTGACAAGAGATCAGCAGAACGAATGAGAGACAAACAGTGGTCGCGGTTCTCCGGGAACTGGTTGTGGAATGAGAGCCCGAAGGAGATGTTTCGGAAGACTTGTTTGATTGACAGTTTTCATCAACACTGGCATTTTAGTTAATCACATGCCTTCACGTGGCGGAGGCTAAACGAAGCTAGAATGGTATTTACTTAACCGGAGTCTCTCCAACTCAAAAGTTTACCAAAAATATTGTTGAATGTCTTTGTGACTTTCCATCCCTAAAAGAGTTGTGTTAAGGCGAGTTAAGACAGTAGACGATGTGTCTTCCTCTTGGGATAGGTCGAGAAAAATGGTCCAATTTTTTCAATTACTCCCCGTTTCGTTGACGTGTTATGCTTTTAAAAGAATGTCAAATTGTTTGACATGTCAACAACATAAAAGGTTGTCTGGAAGTGGGTGGAATAGGAAAGAGTCTAATTTCTCAACAATATCTCGAGTTTTAAACGTGTTTGACATGTTGACAAGACGATAGCTTCTCCGGAGGTGGAGAGATCATTGGGTGAAACGGGGTTTATTCAACATAATTCTTACAATCTCTCTTTCTTAATTTTTCTTTGCCTGATCCCAGCTATAATTCACGTGGCTCTTTTTAACTCACCGAGATCCAAGCACAGACCAGCGGAAATAGAAAAAGGTAAGCTTTCAAAATTCAGAAGAAAATTAAGTTAATGACTAAAAAGGTTGTTAGAAGTATAAGTTTCGTACTAAAAAATCTAAGAGTCGCTTTCCTAAATGGTTAGTTTATGTCACGCTTTCAGTGAACTTCTGCCTGTAAAAACCCAGGTAACTTCACTAAGATCTGTGCGTCGAACTCAGTAAACTCGAAGGTAGAGTGCTTGAAAATCGACCTTGAAGTCACAATTGGCAGCCTATCGACCGAAATGAGGTCTTCCACGTTTACTCAGTAAAAACGCTAGAGGCATCTTCAGAAAGAAAGTTTCTTCTTCGTTTAACCCCCCAAGGTTCATACACCTGAGGAATGTGCTGCATATGGATTGCTTCCTAGATTTTTGGTCAAGAGAGGGGAGCTTTGAGTAATTATTATTAAGCTTCGTGACAATTCACTCTATTATAATATTGATCACTTTTTCTTTACCATGAATCTTGGCCTGCTTAGCAGACGTTTTCCTGTATTTCTAAGCCAAGAGGCAAGGAAAAGGGCGAACAAACGTACCTCTACATTCTTAGCTTCGGACGCTATTGTTTGAGAAACCTCTTTAATACGTGCAGTTCATGAAGTGCGTCGAAAACGAGAACAAAAACGACTCATTTTTTCAGTGCATGATGGAACCATTTTTAGTGCGAAATAAATTATTCATCGGGCAGAAAATGAATGGGTGTAAGTTTACATAAGCCTGATAATGGCACATGAACGAGGACCTTAAAAACACCTTCGCCACCCTCTCTTGGAATTGAGTGTCTAATCTTGATCTAGTCTTGAGTGACAGACTATCTAAACTAAAGCGATTTTGTGGCAGGCTAGAAGAGCGGTGGAAATTTAAGTGATATTGTCTTCTTCATTGACCGCAAGATGCAACAAGCGATTCAACACTTATCTGGCGCTCAAACGTTTTGAATTTAAATGGTCAGATAGTTGTCAATGGATCTCATGAGTAGATCTCTAAAACATTTTCTCAAACCTTAGCCAAACGAACGTCACATCTTCCATTAATCGAGAACATTTCACAAATCAAGTGATCAGCCCTAAGGTGGAATGGATCTTAGTTGATTGGACTGTATCACCTTTGAAGTTTTGAAGTACTTTGCGGTAAAATAAAGATTAGTTGATGTTTGAAGCTTTCCCTTCGAAGCAAAAAAATACTTCGTGTGTCATTTCCTATTCAGTTCTAATGACTCAACAAAACAAATAAAGAAACAAACAAAAGAAGACTAAAACTCGCTCAACTTCCGTCAAATAATTCTTAAACAATGATCGCAGCCCTCTTTTACCATGCAAGCCTCTCGAGAGGATGACGCCGGTAAGAAAGCCGATGAACGCAATGTGCATGATCATAAAAACAATAACTTTTAATTGTGAGTCTTCACAGGCTCGGTGAAGATTGTTAAAGAGTCGCTTCATATATAGACACCAAGTGTCAGAGAGCAACAAAGCTTATTTGATAGAATGTACAACCTTCATCCTGTCTGGTTCAGGATTGATTATGAGCATCAGTAGAACAAACATTCGAATTCTAGAGTTTTGTGCCCGACCAAACTACCAAGTTATAAGGGATCTTAGACTACTAATGGCTCACATGCCTGAGTGATTAACAAGTGATATTTGGCTCAAAATTATTCCCTCATTTTCATTTACTTTCACAAAAGAAGTCAAAGCTTTGGTAAAAAAGAAAAAGGTTGCTCTTAGTGTGCTATTACACAAATCACATAAACGCAAGTACATTTCGTGACTTACGCGCCTAAGTGATCTCTTCAAAATTTTCAAAACATCACCAGGAGGGGAGAGTGGAGAGAGCAGGGGGAGGGGTAGAGAGGAGGTTCCATCCTCCTCAAACGAAATTTTCGAGGGTAATATAGAGTTTTCTCTCGTGTTTAAACTAAATTATCAATGAATGAGAGTACGGTGCTTGGCTTAAATCTGTAATGAGAACACCCTTCCCTGTTCAAAACGCGAATTTACCTCCCGTGTTTGTTATTGTTCCACGTTATTGAGCACAATATGTTTATTTGAAAAAAAACGCTACATAATAAAAAATAATGACAACAACACACATACAAAAAAACATAAAACTAAACAAAACCGAAAAAGAAGCAACCCCCAAGCTCTCTTCTTCCTAGATGAAGCTATATTTAAACATGGATAAAGCCAAAATACAAAGTTATGAGGGGCCTTAGACTACTAATGGAAAAAAAGATGATAAAAATCAAAATGGTATTAATAATAATGAGAGTAATAATTATCATATTATGAAAAATTTTGCATTTCCCTTCCAGTTTGGCGAAAACGAGTACAGCAAAAACGAGTCAAAGTATCACATGGCCGGTCTTGGAAAAAGCTTCGTTGCCTCAAAACTAGTAAACCTTACCAAATACTCACACATGATATTATTTGGCATAATAGTAGTTTCCATTAATATCTATTTTCTAAACTCATATTCAACGATTGAAAAAACCAGAACAGTTAATGATGAGCAAATAGCAAAACACATTGGCCCAAGGATTAGGCATTTGGTTACGAACTCGTTTAACCGGATAAAAAAGCCTGCAACGTTGGCAAATCCACCGAAAGTTACAAGGCTTCTTTCCTCTGAGGCAAGGAAACTTCCGCTAGTAAACAGTTCATGTACTAGAAGAGTTCAAGTAACGCAAGATGGAGTAGTGGTCTTCAGGTCTATTCTCATTAAACCAAAGTTTGGACACGCCAGGGTTCTCGAGGCCCATTTAGAATTCCCTAGCGAAGAGGATGAGTTTTTTGTCTTAGATAAAGGTTTCTTCACACTTTATTGCCGTGGGAATATTGTCGAGATCGAAAGGCAGTTACTATTTGCAGACAAGGACAACACCTTGATGAAATGGAAGGCGGCCATGGACGTTGCAAGTCCTTCGCAATATTTGCAAATTGGAGGGCGGCAATCATTTAAAGATGGGCATTACTTTGCGATCCAAAGGATTGAATTTGCCAATGTTTATTGGACTATCATTGATCTGTTGGATATTTTCATCTCGTCACAAAGTTTGGGTATACGACCTGAAAATTTGAACATCATTCTCATCGACGCTCATCCAAAGTCCTCGCTGGACCCTTTCTGGACTGTGTTGTTCCAAAGGCTAATAAAACTAAATGATAAACATTTTTTTACAAACTCAAATGGCGTTGTGTTCGAAAATCTTATTTGGAGATATTCACGCGAGAAGTGTCCTTTATTAGACATCAACCTAAAGTCTTCAAGACATGTCCAACCATTTAGGTCTTTTGTATTAGGGCAGTTTGGAATCTCAACGAGTAGACATTTGCGAAATTGTAGTCAGAAAAAGTTGAATGTGTTAATCATCTTGAGGAGAGACTACAAGAGTCATCCTCGGAATTTGGCCGGAGTTATAGACAGAAAAATTGCCAATGAGGCAGAAGTTTTACGAGAAATTAAGACCAGCTTCATTCATGCAAACATTACTGCTGCTCAGATAGATCTATGGCCACTAAAAGCACAGTTGGAAACAATTGCCAATACAGACATATTATTTGGAATGCATGGTGCGGCTCATGCATTCTCTATTTTCATGGAACCAGGCGGAGCAGTAGTAGAGATGTTTAATGATGATTTACAATCAGCTAACTGGCACATGAGGAAAATAGCAACTCTTTCAGATCATTCCTACATCAATTGGGCAAACAGTAATCGTAGAGCGGTAAATAAAGTTACAAAGTCGACTAAAATTCCCAAGGGGGTATCATCGAGTCTCCTAGAAAAGGCAGTTGAAAGCATTTGCTCTGAAAGGTCCAAATTCCCAACTTTAAGGTCGTGATGTCCAAGGTTCATGATTGGCGCTTGTAACTGTCTGCCTCATCTGCCTTCGTGTGTGGCTATCTTAAAATGTATATACGTATCACACACATCAGGAGTTTACGACTTAAATGTTATTCTTGGCAAGCGTTAATTTACTATCCAAACTGTCATTAGTTATTATTGTAAATAAAAGCTTCTAGAAATTTCCAGACTGCTGGACAGAACATTTCATCGAGTCACACATTTATTACATATTACTACCATAATAAGATAAATTTCAGGTAATTAAATGCAGAAGGGTTAATTCAGTGGAGAGAAATAGCAAACCAGACTGAAAATTCTTGAACTGTTTAGCTGGACTTTGACCTTTGATTTTTTCATATTATCTTATCGGTTGTTTCGACCGAACGCACAATGTCACCTGCAGGGTTTGAATAAACTGTTTTTGCACTTGCGTGCGCTTTGCTTCTGCATAATTATGATAAGCTACATCGTATTTTTTCATGTCTATTATAAGTACGTAATCACACGAATTTTTCCGTACGATTTGGAATAAATAAGCACTTGTAAATTCCAAATTGCACTCGAAATCCTGTGATTTCCTATACAAATAGTACTTATATAAGCATCTGGAACGTTCCAGAACACTTTGTGAATATATGTAGAGTCACTTATGTAGTGGTCACAGAGTTGTTGTTGGAATGACGACTTGTTCCTTATTAACGATAAGTATTGTACTGCTTTTAGAAGTCGCTCCTTGTTAAGAACATTACTCGCTGTTTGATGAAGTAGTTGAATTCGTGGGACTGTAGTGATTTTCTGTCGGTTCGATCATACCGTAACAAAACATAAAAATTGAACATTACATATCTCGCCACGAAAACAATATTATACGGAATTTAAAATATTTGCACACGTGCAGTGCAGAGGATTTCGTCTTATACAGATAACGATAAAAATAAAAGTAAAGCAATGTAATTCAAGTCTATTATCAGTGAGATTTCAAATCAAATTTAAGGGTACTGGAGAAGCTTAAAAGGTGCTCCGATCTATATCGGTTATTTTTGCAAGTTGTGAAACCGTCAACAGGTAAGTAAATAATTTCCTTGCGGTAGTTTCGGAGATATTGATAAAAAATAATTGAATGTAGTTTTAACCGTGTCTTTTTTTTAAATTCATAATGTTTCTTTACGTTTGGATAACAAGTGCATAATCACGTATGTGCATGACTGAAATGGTGCGATCATTGTGGTGTGAAATTATTGATAGTGTTGAAGTGCACAAAGGTTGAATACAGCGTAAACATATAAATGACATTGGATGAACTCACCTCCTGGCAAAGAGCACGACATCGAAGCCACTACAAAGGCGATGGAGTAATTCATGCTTATGATCTATTGAAGAGACATTGGAATAGAGTTTATGGCAAGCTTTCTTCACCTAGAAGTATTGTGATCCAACCTATAGGTTGCAATGAGCTAAAATATTCAAAACCGAAAGAACCTTATGAATAAGCAAATTATTTTTGCACGGTTGCACAGTGAATGGCTATGATTTGCTTCTCTAAATTTTCTAAATGGACAAGAAAAGCAGCATTGATCACGCCCGAGTGATTAACAACAGGGGAAACTTTATTGAAAACACCGATCTGGATGATGTTACGCTCAAAATTATTCCCTAATTTTCATTTACTTTCACAAAAGAAGTCAAAACTTTGGCAAAAAAAGAGAAAGGTTGCTCCTAGTGTGCTATTACGCAAATCACATCAACGAAAGTACATTTCTTGACCTATGCGACTTAGTGATCTTTTCAAATTTTTTCAAAACATTACCGGGAGGAGAGAGAGGAGAGGAAAGGGGAGGGGGAAAATTTGAGTAAAATCGGTGAAATTTTGCCTGTATTCGACGAAAACACGTTGCTATAGTGGAGTCCAACAAGCACACCCTATGAAGTCGACTGAAAACTTGGATTTCAATTTGCAAAAGGCCCCAATTTTTTCTAGCAAAGCAAGAGTCACAAGAGAAGACTTGAAACGTTACTGAACAACTGATAGAGGTAAGTTTTTTAATCAGAATTGTCTGAGACTCCTTTCGAGGCGCTTTTAATATGTTAAGATCGGCCATTATGCGACTCCGTTTTGAATTTCGGAGGTACTGAATATCGAGCAAAACAGTCTGTAAACGACTGGAGAGTTTTAGTTTTGGTTCCAAAGGGTGCAACACTTTTATTCATCTAAATTAGTACTTGAGCAAATAAATTACACTAGATTTACATACATAGTGCTCGTTCTGGTAGAATTTCCGCACAGCCCTATACTCATTATGCATTCAGTTCTTGGCTAGAGAAAACAACGACAAAAACAA